TCGAGGGGCGGAGGACCCGAGGCCTGCGCCTCCGCTCGGCCTGGCGGTCGCCTCCCCAACTACGCGGGCCCCCGGCGAGGCCCTCTCTTAACCGAATCTGTGTTTTCTGCAGGCACCGACCGTCACGAACTCACTTCCTGGAAGAGCTTCCCGTCTATTTTCAAATTTTTTACCGAAGCCTCTGAGGCCAAGACCAGTTCCCTCAAGCCGGCTCTGACGCGGCGCTCGCACCGAATCAAGCATGAAGAGCTGTAAGAGGAGAGCGAGCGAGACAGGGGAGGGGACGCCCAGGACCCACACTCGAGCATGCATCCACCCGGCTCCTAACTGCTTGTCGTCGGCGAGCAGACTCCCAGCCCCTCATTAGATTGTTTTCTTCCTAGAGCACAGGGTCGTGATATATACATCTAAATAGCGTTTTGCATTATTTCTAGATGAGTGCAACTGTCAAAGCAATATGGGTTCACTGGTCGTGCTTCCTGCGGGCTGAGCTCGGGCTTCGCGCTGCCCGTCAGCGCGCAGATTAAGGCTGACAGCGCCCTGCCTGACGCGGCCCGCGCTCCTCTAATTGCCCTGACGAAGCCCGCGCCGGCGCTGCGGGGCTAGCGGCGTCTGCGCGGTCCTACAGCCCGCTGCAGCGCACCACTGCTCCCCCACCCTCGAGCCCTGGCCCCCCTTAATCGGGTCCATTTTTTTTCTTCTCCGAACCAGAGCAAACTTTTATTCTAGACTTCAAACTTACTTTTTAAAGTAGGTTTTTCTCTGAGGGCGTCTATGTCTCTTGTTTTAAGGAAGTTCTCCCCGCCCCTCACACCCAGAAAAGCCAAATTTAAATTCAGAACATGAATGCCATGATATACTATGTAGTTTTGGGAGCGCAAATTGTTCTCTCCCTAACAGTCTATTTTCATTCAGAGACCAGGAAAAAAACTTTTGCATAAAAGTCTATAAAATGCTAAATCCACATTACCGCTGAAAATCCTTGCCAGTTGAATATGAGATTTTTTTCACTAGTCTCTAATTTCACAAGAGATTGTTTCAACCAAAACATAGCGATGAGCAAATCTTTTACATTTCTGTGTGAAAGACCCTCCCTCTTTTCAATGGACTTTCCAACTTTATCATTAGATTTGACTTGACTTTTTAAATATATAATGTATATTGAGTGGCATTGTAATTTAGATAGCATACTTGTTTCGCTTTTTTAAATCTTAATGTGGAGAAAGTTTATTGTTATTAATCCTAACTAGAATGATCTATTCTGATCTTTCCTGGAGTTTGACCCTTTTAGGGATAGAATTTTTTGTCATTAAGAAAGTGAACCTGTGTACTCGAGCCTTTTCCTTCTGAAAGGCTAAGTTGGTCTAAAATGATTCTTTTAGTTTTCTGCTCCACAGAAAGGGAAAGACCTGGTGTGAAAGTTGATCTCCTCAGTGCAGTGGTATAATTTTTAATAGTACACTTCCTCTGTAGGGTTTTGCCCTACAGCTTCAACAATTGTCTTTTGATCCAGCTAAGATCTGGCCAACACTGTGAAATATAAGAGGTAAAATAAGTTAAGATTTTGCTGATTTTTATATTCAAATGTTAAACCTTAACGTTATCAGTTTTTAATTACCTAGTGAAGATTCTGTTTCTAATGGATGAGAATCAGAATTTAATATTCATCCGTTTTTAAAGTATATGCAACAATATGCCTCTCTTATTTAAGGACATGATAAAATGTATCCAAAATGACTTAGAACTGACTCCTCAAAAAAAATTTAATTAAAATAACCACCATATGGATAAAATGTTTTTGTATTACGAACCGATTTCAGCAAGTTTTTAAAGCGATAATATCTCTGGTATACAAGTATATTAATTAGTTATTATAGTTTCGATGATGGCAAATTAAAGTGATCTTTTTTCAGTAGTCATATATGCATATATTTTGAGGTTATTTTAGCATAAACAACATAGGAAAAATCAAAATGTCATCTAGCTCTCAGATAGCTTAAAATGTGTAACCCCACCAATGTCAAGCCTGTTGTTCTGCAATCTTTTCTATTTTAGAAGAAGTGGTGAACTGTATAAAATAATGGTACCTTCCATTGAGAAGATTTGAGAATCGATGTGAATCGAATATATTTTTCAAAGTGTTATAAATTGTGTGGCGTTTTCAGTACATGAAAATGTTCACAGGAAACTAATTTTGTTGCATTTTTTTAAAATCGGCACTTTTGCAGTGCTAAATTTGTGAAGCTTCTGCAGCTGAATTAGAGCAAAGTAAATATGCTCAGTTTATAAATAAAATCACTCCTTTTCTGTAATTTTCTCACCTCTCTTTTTAAAAACCTTTGCTTTTAACTAGAGTAAATCGCTGTTTAATTGCCTTTAAGACTTTAAAACTACTGGATTGTTAGGCGTTATTTAACTATCTATAGAGAGCTATTTGCAAACTTAAGTTGTGTAAATTTAATTTCTACTTGTGGATCTGAGCTGTAGCCACCCAGAGAGAGCTAGGCAAACCATCCCAGACCTCCAACTGCTAACCGATAAGATTCCTTGTAATGTAGGATTTTTTAACCTGTTGATTATGGGTCTTTTGGTATAAATGTAATAATATCATTCACCTCAATTTTCCTGGAGTAACAACAATCAGTTAGTAGTAAGTAGCCCGCCTGCTTGGAGGTGACAAGTGTTAATATTTCTGCTCTGATCTTCTCCTCCTCATTTTGGTTTCTTCTTTGGTTTTGAGATAGGTAGAGGTTTAAGTTAGGATGTGGGTTTGTTCGTTTTAATTATATATTTGGTTCTTAGAGTTAGTAGAATGAGAATCAAGGAGTTAGTGATAAATCTAAGATTCAAAATAGTCCTGTTAAAACTTAAAAGCCAGGTATTGGCTTTGGAGCTTTCTAAAGGTACCTAACCATGCAGCCATTAAAAGTTTTTATGGATTTTTGAAGGGGGTAGAAATCTACTTGTAACAATTGTTTTTTTTTTCCTCAAGTTTCTGCCTTGTGCTTCAGCCTGGATTGCATTATTGTTTATACCCCCTCCCTCCAAAAAATTAAGTAAAGCACAGGAGTTTTCTATATATTATATATTTCTGTTTACCATTTTTAAATAAAAACAATTTTCCCAACAAACAGCAGCGTATTATTCTTGCTCAGAAGTTCATTTTCTCGTGTATAGAGATTAATAAAAGCAGAAACCTAAGAAGAATGGTGAGATGTCGTCAATCCTTTACACCTTATAGGTGCTTACTATTACTATTATTGTTGCTATATGGTAATATCCTAACTCCAGTTGAGTCAATATTTGGCTTGGACCTTTCACAAAGCTAACATTTTTTTAATACATCTGTTTTTAACATCTTAAATGTTTTCTTAGCTACTTGGAAATTAGAACCTGTTAAACTATCATTTTATAAAGTACAGTTTAGTATACAGTAAATAAATGTGTTTTCCAAAAGGAGTCTGATCAGATTAAATTGTTTCCAAATCCTTATATAAATAAATCCCTGATGTATTATGACATCTAATCTGAAAATATCTTCTTTACATTTATTTTACAGCTTTTTCTTCTTTAAAACCTATAACTCCTTTGAGAGAGTGTGGGTGACAGAATGTTAACTATATTATCAGTGCTGATAAGATTTTTTTCATGTTTCTCTGGATTATCTGGCGTTCCAATCCAAATACATGTGTGTCTGCTGTCATAATTATAGTTTGTAACTCTAAACTGACAGGTTCATTTTGGTGTTTGTAGTTCTGATTCATTTTAGAAAGATTACTATTACAGAAAGTTTAAAATTTATCTCCAAAACTTTCCCTATGCCTCTGTAGAGAAAAATGTCTTTAAATAAATGTAAAACATTCTCATCTTTGAAATATGGGTGGCCAAAAAAAGGGGGATAATGGTGGTTATTTTATGATTACTTATTAGGTGCTGTAATAATATAAAATAAAAGACTCCAGGAGGTGCTCCCTTTCAAAAATGGAATACTTTCCTTCCTTCCTTGTATAGAGTGACTGAGTGGGAGTCTCTTGAATTGTTCATCTTCCTTTTATCTAATATCCTATTAATCTCCAAAAAGATCAGTTTGAGTCTGGGAAAGGGTTTTTAATCAACACTTCACAGAGCTTAAAGCTATCCTACCCAACGCGTCAGCTTTGTTAGGCGGTTTTAGATTTAAAGCATTGCAACTGTCATGCACTGTACTAAAAGTAAAGAACGTACACCAAGTGGAAGATGTTGAAAAGAGGGAAATAGCACAAAGTCGATTAACGGAGATTCAAGAATAGAAGTAGCCATCAAAGCATTCCAGCGTTTATCTCAAAATCTATGTAGGGTTAAGGAAAAAGCAACAATGATAGTTTTAAACCCCACACTTTAGAGGGATGAATGTTGGTTTAATTGATTCATTTGGATCGATGTTTTTAAAGTTTCACACCACTGATCTTTCATGTAGTGATGTCTTTAGCAGTCAGTGGTCTGACATGAGACTTCTCAGATTTCATCAGGGGGACTCTCCATGACATCTGAAATTATGCAACAGCCTGTGGGATGGTAACTTTGGAACTGGGGGACCTCGATGCCAAAGAACATGATTAGATTGAAGAGCTCTTGTTAATTCTTAGCACAAAGATTTCAGAGACGTGATAATTGTAAATGAACCATAAATGTCAAAATCACCAAATATTATATGGTGGCCTTAATCGCTAGATAGAAGAAAATCATCCTCAAAAGTTTGGCCATTAAGTGGATATCATGCAGTGACCAGTATTTTCCCCTTGAATATAAAAAGCTTGAAGACGAAAATTTGACTTAATCCATGAGGCCTTACAGGCAACTTTGCCCAGTCCTTTGCCCTGAAATTTGTCAAAAACTTTTCACTATATTTTTGCATTGTTGGAGTTGAGTTCTGCTTGAAATTGACATGAGATATATTTCCAGAAAGAAATCTAGAGAGGCCCAGCATCTTTCCTTCCAAGTCATTCAGCTTTTTTTTCCTTGGCTATTACATCAGTTAATATTGGAGACTGTCATAGGTAAAATAATGTTGAACTGTACTTTGTAACCAGCCTGCAGTACCAATACAAAGAATCTGAAATGAAAAGACAACCAACACCCTAAGAATGATATGTCTCTTTTTAAAGTTTACAATTTGAATAATGAACTTGGATAGAAACTTGGCAGGAAAACAAACCATGGCACCATCACATCACCAACCATTTTCACTTTTCTGTCCAATTTCAGAGTGCATGTGTTTGTGAGTATTTCACTAGATCAGTGACAGCTCTTTATTTGCATAATTATATGCTCTGGTCTGAAGAGAAAACTAACCCCCAAATTTCATGGGTCACCAAACTGCAACAATCAATGTTTTATCACGTATGCTAAGCAAAATCTAAGAAGCTATATGAAGTTTCTTGGGGAGTTTTTACTCCTCAGAAAATTAAAGAGTTTTCCTCTCCTGAATAGATTCAAAATCTTTCCAAGTTCTTTGTAACTGAATTCTGTTTGAAGGCAAAACTAGAGATTAACATGTAGATCTGGATCTTAAACTCACTAGCATTACTTCAAAGTGGCTTAAGAAGAGCAGCATTTTTGGAACACTAAACTTAAATTCTAAGTACCATCCTTCGTGCTATGAAGAAAAATGTTGGTCACATTATGATCAGCCAAAATGAAGTCTGAACTACAATTAAATATAAAACTTCCTTCTTTCTTTGAAATAACTCAGGGTTTTTTTTAAAAAAAACTAATAGAAAAGTATATATAACCTAAGTGTTCATCAGCAGATGAATGAAGATATATATATATATATATATATGCATGTGTGTGTGTGTGTGTACACCACATACACATACATATTCATTCATGGGGTACATATGCCCATTCTACCAAAAATAGACAACATACACAGTACGTATATGTCTTTTTCAGTGCCTGTAACATAGTAGATACTCAATATACGTTGGTCACCAGGATTATTTGTAAACTTATTTTCTTTTAAATGAAATTTTCAAGGCATCGTAATAAATATCTTTTAATGCCTCAAGTTTATCTGCATCTGTAAATTCTCTGTATGTAACATGTATTTGTGTGTAAAGTGGCTGAATTTCATTAAAAGTTATTTAAACCGTGTGTGTTTTTAGTTTGAAGGCAATCTGCCAGACTTGAAATACAATGGAGCATAGAGACACATGCAGAGAGTGACTTGGTTATGGAGTTATTAAAATCCTAGAAAATATGACTTAGGCTGCTAAAGAATATACTAGGTGCATAATTTAATTATGCTACACAAGGACTTAAGTATGAATTTCATTTAAAAACATAATACAATGCCTTTAAAGTGATTTGTTTGTAATAATATATTAAAAGTTTATCAGGCAATATACTGTCATCAAGAAAAAAAGAAACACTGAGTGGAAAGTTTAAGAACTGCATAGCTTTGAAATATTTTATTCTGTATCTTGAAGAGAGAAGAAGGGTCTTTAGGTCAGGTATGAGAAATTTTTCTAAAATATTTCAGGTGAAAACCAATTTCTCCCAAGTTTTTAATTAAAGTTGAATTTCAAATGAAAGACATTTTCTTTCTCTTGTAGTCTAAAAACTTAAACATCTGCTAATCAGGAATGCTACCCACAATCACCACATCTCACCTTACTGAAATGTTCACCTAGTTTTAAACTCCCTCTTGGGACACCCCCATTGTCTACCTCCCCGGAAGTTGCTGTTTGGACTGAAGATCTTGGATTCTTCTTGGTGAAAATGCCTCAAAATCAAATCTGTAAAAACAAATAAATAGAGTTTAGCATTTTTGTTAAATAAAATAAGTTGGTAAGCAAATGAGTTAATGTTACTGTCTAAACAACTAAGACAAAAATAAAGAGTGGAATGCTCTTAGATTACTGTCTAAAGGTTTATAAGTTGAAAACCAAGTGCCTCTGAGTTAGAGTAATTTGCATTTTATATTTAAGGTATAACCTCTTAAAAGGAAAAGAATAGACAATACGCATACCAAATTACTTTTTTTTTTCTTGCTCTGATTGACCTGTGAAGAAATCTAGCTATGAGTTTCAAATAAGCCTTTCAGTTTTCTACCCTGCCTGGGACACAGAAAAATCTGTTATTTCCCATTGAATTCCACACATGAAGGGATTGACCCTGTAACTGAAAGGCCTAGATTTTCTCTTTTTATTATTTTCATTTCTTTTGGCTCAAATGCCACCTAATCCCATTGTGTCTGAAAAAGGTATCTCTAATCCAGTTCATCATCATGTACTTCCAAATAAATTTCCAAAGTCTTGTTTTGTCATAATGAAATAAATGGCTTTTCCCAATAAATGTTCATATCTTCTCTGGATACTTAGATAATCAGGATTTGTCAATTGAAGAAATGATAGTTTGTTTTGGGGGGTTTGGGGGGTTGTTTTTTTTTTTTTTTTTTGCTCTTGCTTTGCCTCAGTAAATTAGTATCACCCCCTGAAATAACCAGCTCTAAAAATAACTCTAGCACAGAGTGTCACAATTTGGCTTTCATATAGTTTTGAAAGAAAACCATTAAAATTGCATTGATCTTACAAATATTGATCTAGTGCTTGATATCAAATATCAAATGAGATGCTGTCAGTTGCTGCTGATTATTGTGTCAGCTGTTTGAATTCTTGTCCTTTTCCTTCTTCATTGTCACATGGATTCAAGTTACCGAGGCTAAGATTTTCATGATTAACACAATTAAGTTTTTTCTGTTTTTCACGTTTCTGATTTGACCCAATATATTATTCTACATGAAATTTGTTCACATGCTTACATATCTATACCCGCACACATACATGCACATACTTTTGTAAAAACATGTAAAAACTTTTTTTTTTACAGAAATGACCCACCTACTAGGTAGGCTATGTTTCTATTTAGTTCTTTATCTTAATTTTGAGATAATTTCTATCTGTATCCTGCTTCCTTTCTGGTCACCTACCTTTTAAGAAATCAAATTTGTTTAAGAGGTTGCAGTTGTTAAGAGTACATTTAGAACCCAGAATGAAGTCCTATCTATTTCAAATTTACACACACCACACACACGCAAATACTACAATAGGTAAATCTCTCCTTTTATTCTTGCTGACAAAAATATAATTGCAACCTTTGGCCAGCGTGCAGTTTAGAGAATTATTTAAATGAAATTGAATTTGTATATTTTTAATACTTTCCCCATAAACTCATGCTAAGTCATGCTACGTTTTTATATCCTGTCAGATCAGGAAATAGCTAAGTGCCTTTGAATATGTTTAAGGTCTCAAATCACCCTTTTTCTTTTTGCCTTCCTCTTTACTTCTTACATCAAAAATTGATGGTTACAGTACTTTGAAATATAGAAATCTTTAAAGAGGAAACCATCCTATAATGACCAGTTAACACTGTTGTCTGACTAAGCTGTACAGGCTGAGAAATAGAGTAGAACCCTCCTAGAGTACTGTTTAAATTGTACGTCTACGTGCGTATTTTCCACATTCGCGAGGCGGGAGCGGTGGGGGGCAGGGAATTCCCAGCCGCGCGAGTTGCTGGTTTCTCTTCTCCTTTTACACCTGAGCTCGGTTTGGGTACAGCGAAATGAAGCCGCGTTCTTCCCAGCACCATGGACAGCGCTCCGCGCGCCCCGTTCCCATTCTCCGCCAGAACCCCGAAGTTCTGGCCCTCGCCTGATTCTTCTCTCCGACCATTCACTCGCTATAGGAAACTGGCTCTGGAAATCTTAGGATCTGAGCCCAAAGCGACTATGAGTTTAAAAAGTACAGGTTGTGGATGGAGAGCCTTGTTTGCTCCATGCCCGGTGTTAACAGAGTGCCCCAGAGTTGACACACCATTTGCCTGCTCCCCGATT